TTGTTGATTATTTACATCTGATGAGACAATTTCTGCTTAGGCGGACACATGTAGGAAAAACTCTTAAAACTGCCCGCTGTTAAAAGAAAATGCCGGTAAAAATGGGTCGTATCCTTCTTAAAACCTCCCTCCTCAACAACATTATAATAAGGAGGACGTATTATGATAATTTCCAGGTTCATATCAGTATATGACATGTCTCCATGCTTTAATGTTCAAAAAGCTCTTCTCATACTGTCTGTGCTGCAGCACCTCTTTTCACCCTCTGTCTGTAACCAGAGCCCAGTCCGCTCTGATTGGTTAGCTGGCTCTGTTGTGATTGGTCAACCGCTTAGAGATGTCCCGCCCCTTAGCCTAACTTTGGGATTCTAGCCTTTGCAGACCATTTACATGCACAGAAACCTATATAAACACACTGCAGGAAAGGGAGCTCTTTGCTCTTCCAGTCCTAAGTGATGAAACTCAGAAGCTTTAAAGCAGAGTGTTCTTACTGACCTGACAGTCTTGGATCTCCTTCAGTGTGAAGTCCGTTCCCACAGCCAGGATGGTCTTTCCGTCTGAAGAGAAGGAGACATCAGTGTAGCTGCAGGACTTCAGGACGCTCTCTGACACTCGTTTTCCCGTCTGAGCGTTCCACTCGTACACGGCTCCGTCCATCCCGCACGAAACCAGCCGGCCGTCGTCCAGACTCCACTCGATGCCTCGCACCTGGAGAACAGAGATGTAGTTTTCCCACAGCAGACACACATCGTAATAACATCTGATGGTGCATTCAGACTCTCTTTTCCCAAGACCTGATGAATTCTCCTTCTCAGATTTCCTTAAAGGTATATATTATAGGTCTCAGATATACAAATATATAAAAACATGTCTATGAAGTGTTTTGCTCAAAATACAAACAGATCATGCATTTTAGAAATCCCTCATACCCCTCTATTTCAGCCCTGTTAGAGAAGCGCTGATTCTGGGTATAAGAATTCTACCGAGATACAGCTAAATGCTGCCGTGATGAAACGCCATCATGTTCCAAACCACATCAAGGATTCTCTCTGAAACAGAATGGAGCTCAAAGGCTTTCTCTCTTGCCGGTTATACCACAAGGTGAGTTCCTTTCTTTATTTCCTGCTTCTTCACACACATGCTCTCCAGTACAGGTTAGCTCCGACTGTTAGCGATGCTAATGTAAACAAAGACCATATTACGTCCAAAACACATTGCTTCTGATAGCAACGTTTCTGATTGGGCCGTGGGTCCACATTTCAGATATTACGTCATATCGGACGCAAATCTGGATCAGCTCCGTTGTAGCCCCGTTTTTAGAGATTTGGGTACGGAGGAAAAGAGAGAGGGTTTTATTTTCTGACGCTGCGTGAGTTCCCTGACACACCGGGACACATATCTATGTATACAAGACATCAAAAAGTGCATTTTGCATGACAGGAGACCTTTAACCCCGGGACGTTTCTCACTGAGTATAGGAGCCACATATGTTTATTGTTGGCATGTTATATTATTTTGTTAGGATGTATAATGCAGTATTATTTTGAACACTTGGCGGACAGGATTGGATGAATAAATAGGGTCATAGGTCATGGGAAAGAGCACAGGAAGAGCGAGAGCAAACCATTCTTCCCAGATGTTACAGCTGCTAACAGCTTCATCAACTCACTGGCAGATTCTACCTTGGTATTGTACAAACTCTTATATTAAATATCAAACCAACCTGCATCCAACAACAGGAACATCTTCAGTTTTGCATTAAGATCCCTCTCTACCCTCACCTGTGAAATAATGCAAACCGTAATAAAGGTAATTGGAAAACCTAAATTGCCATTACACTGAGTTGAATGAAGAAAAAGACAGAACTTTAATTTGTTGACACTTACTTGAAGAAAGTCATTCCACATGCTGCCTGACTCACCTTCCCATTGTGGCCTTTCAGATTGAGGATGTTCTCGAAAGAGGTGACGGAGTAGATGTGGATGACGTTCCCATTGACAGCTGCAAACATGTGTCCACCGTGACTGAAGGCGCACTAAGAGAGAGAAAGTGAACAAGGAGGCCAAAAGAGCATCAAATGGTTTTACTGTGTCAGAATCAGAATCAAGTTCATTGCCAGGTATGTTTACTCATACAAGGAATTTGCTTTGGTATCTGGTGGTGCGAACATAAACAATTAAAATACAAAATAAGTTGCAAAGTAGGTAGGAAGGTAGTATTTTTAAGAAACAATTTACCCTTAAAAAAGGATGCTCAAGACAAGTATTTACACCAAATGTAAATGTAACTATACAAATAACCTAGGAAGCTTAAAAACAAAAACACTTAGGGCAATGACTATATGGTTAAATACTGTGAATTATATGTTAAAGTGGAGGGCTGTGCAGACATGTGTGCAAAGTGTCTGCACACGTTACTGTGATGGAAGCGTCTGAAGCAATGGAGACTCAGAGAGACACGAGGAGAGCATGGATGTATAATAAGAACTGGATACAGCGTGGGAGGCGGGGCCTCGTTCATTCCTATGAGAGCTGTTCATTCCTATGAGAGCTGCTCATTGGCGCATGAAGACAAAATGGCCCAACTTTTGAGAGAGCGAAACGTCACGAAAGTATTCATATAATCATATAATCCGTTCTTATTGTGCGTCCATGGGGAAGCGTAAAACTCATGTAGTACTGAACACGTCACATGAACGTGCCGGGTGGCGCGGTCCCGTGGGTTGGATGCGCGTTCATAATGCCGAGGAAAATAACTCTCAGAATTAGCACATTTTTACAACTTGAGGACCGAATATTTTTAATAAGGGCTATACAAGTGTTCATACTGGGTAGTTTATTTAGATTAAAAAAAAACATCCAACGATTTACAGATGTCTCTTTCCCGATGTTAGTCAATGGGAAAAAGTGTTTCCGGGCCCAGCGGCTGATACGGAAGGGTAGTACCGCCGTTTGGCCACAACGAATATTTTCCACAGAGTCCGGCGCACTTCCTGGGAGCTTGGAGGAGAGCAGGAACCTTGATGGAAAACACTGATGGTTTATCGTCAGTTATCCAAAGAGCCTCGTCATTTAGAAGATACATTCATATAAACAACATCACCGTAGTGTAGCACAAACATTAACATTGCACTGTCTCTTACTGGCCTCAAAAACACAGCGTTGACACAGCGGCTGCCAAACCAATTCTGAAGATCTCTACCCCAGATAAAAGTATTTAGCCGGTTCTGAGAGAATGATCAACATTGTGCATAACAAGATCAAGCACTATAACAACACCTCTATCAGCTGACTCCAACAGGCAGGAATCTGTTTACAAATTATTGTCACGGCTAGGCAAACCAGTAAGAACCCAAAAGCACGACTCGACAAACAAAGTACAAAAAGTCTTTACTGAAAAAAGGGGCACTGTGAGCTCTCCGTAGCGGTAACAGGTCAAGGTAACAAAAAACACTCTTATGAGGAAAAGGTTAACATAGTATCAAAAATGCAAAGGATAAAGTAAATTCCAAAACTCGGTTCTTAGCTCTTAGCAGAAGAAACATGGACTTCACGCTGGCAGTCAGGCACATGGGACGACACGAACTGGCAACAAGACAAGGGAGACAGAGGCCGTTTCTCAATGTCGAATACACCTGCTGCAGAGCCACTATTTCAAGTATACTACGTCATCGAGTGCCGCCGAAGGACTGTTTAAATGCATGTTAAATGCCCAGCATTCTGCGCCGCTTTATGCCGCCGTATACGTGCAATAGTGGCTCTGCAGCAAGTGTACTCGACATTGAGAAACGGCCACAATCTATATATAGGCAGGCTAAGGGGGAACAGGTGCAGACAATTAGGGCGGAGTCGACAATCACAGTGGAGGGAAAACACACAAAGGGAGGAAGTGAGGTAATCTACAACAAGAAGGAAAGGTTACTACAAAATAAAACAGGATACAAGACTGAACTAAAAACATTAACTGAACAGATTTTACGAGACATAACAATTATTTATCTACATATTCCAATTACTTGTATATAGACTCTCCTTGCACTATTTCTATTCTATTTTATTTGTATTTACTGTTTTATTGTGTTGCACTGTTGGAGGAGCCTCAGATTACCATCGATATATCTACACTACGTACACATGACAATAAAAGCCTTGAATCTTGAATCTCGGGAGACAAACCACTGAGAGCACAGCAGCGAAAGGTTGCAGGTCTGGAGTCACTGATAAGCTGGGTCAAAGGTATGGGCTTAGGAAGATATTTCCCCAACACACGACATAACCCACCTCTCTGCAGCCGCGCACAGCGAACTCCTTGAAGGTTCGGATGTCATCGATGAGCAGGTTCATCAGCCGGAGTTTGTCTGAAAATCCCACCAGGATGAAGAGGCCGGTCGGATGCAGAGCCACGCTGAGCGCCTCCTCTGGGAACTTTTTGTAGAGCTCCAGCACTCTGGGGACAAATCAAGGAGAGACACAGCAGAGTGTTATACCTAAGATTCAAGGTTCAAGGCTGTTATTGTCATGAACATCTTAGGCTCCTCCAACAGTGCAAGTAAATACAAATGAAATAGAATATAAATAGTGCCAGGAGAGTCTATATACAAGTCATTGGAATATAATATATTAGATAAATAATGTGTAAGTTGCAAACAGATGAATGTTATGGATGTTCTTTCAAAAGTTCAGGTCTTTAACAGTCTAAGAACCTAATCTCTATATTTGCTGCATTTTGGGGTTTCAATAAAGCAGCAAAAAGCTAGTGAACATAAGATAAAGGTGACTTGCTTTATCCTACATGAGTTGAATGTTGCTTTAGGATTATACTGTGTTTCATCAATATATCACAGGTCTCAGATATATACAGAGCCTGTCTCTGATTGGCTGAAACACCAAACAGATCATTGCAGCATTACCCATAATCCCCTCTGTTTCCAAAGTGCTGATTCTCTGTCTGTTACTTTAGATGAAAATAAGGAGCCCCTCCCCACGCCCCTCTGAGAGACATTTGGTTACAAAGAACTCAATGGTGCTCTAGAGGAGATTCAGGTGATAAGGGGGGAGGGGGTTACCTTGGTTGCTGATTGGCTAATGGTTACACAAGACAACACATCGTTATGACATCATAAAGTGGCCAAAATCTGATCAGCTCATTTTCAGACAGGTTTTTATAGAAATGGATCAAAAAGAGAGAGAATCTTTGTTCCTGAAACTTTCAGAGTCTCTTTCCACAGAGGGGACACATGTTGATGTAGAAGAGACATGAAGAAGAGGGGACACATGTTGATGTAGAAGAGACATGAAGAAGAGGGGACACATGTTGATGTAGAAGAGACATGAAGAAGAGGGGACACATGTTGATGTAGAAGAGACATGAAGAAGAGGGGACACATGTTGATGTAGAAGAGACATGAAGAAGAGGGGACACATGTTGATGTACAAGAGACATGAAGAAGAGGGGACACATGTTGATGTAGAAGAGACATGAAGAAGAGGGGACACATGTTGATGTAGAAGAGACATGAAGAAGAGGGGACACATGTTGATGTAGAAGAGACATGAAGAAGAGGGGACACATGTTGATGTAGAAGAGACATGAAGAAGAGGGGACACATGTTGATGTAGAAGAGACATGAAGAAGAGGGGATACATGTTGATGTAGAAGAGACATGGAGAAGAGGGGACACATGTTGATGTAGAAGAGACATGGAGAAGAGGGGACACATGTTGATGTAGAACAGGGGTGGCCAACCAGTCAGAGGTTAAGAGCCACATTTTTTCTATTTTACTGCAAAGAGCCACATCAAACACACAGTCACTGATACCGCTTGTTTCAGTTTTTTGTTTTCTGGAGACAAGATTTCAACCACGTCACTGATGCATTTTTGTGGCATTGGGATATTTTTTTTTTTAAATCCTCTGGAGCAGAGAGAGGAGCTGTGGATTATTGTTATTGATTAATGCATCAGTGTTTCTTAGGGTCAAAAACACTAAACTCACAACTTAAAATGAAAGTGTTTAGTTTATTTAATAAAAGAGCACATGTTCAATGTTTAAAGTGACAGTAGTTATAGATTATTTGCAATTTGGTGCTATGTATATATTAAAACAAATAAATAATTATATATATTTTTTAAACACCTTGAATTTCAGGGGGGGCGCGGGGCTCCGTTGGCGGGGCGCAGCGCCCCTCCAAGACAATGGTAGGGGAAACACTGGATAGTGTTTAATCAACGATAGGTTTCCCCCCCCTCAAAGGTGATTGGTTCACTGCATCACAGGTATTATTGTGATTGGCTCTTGGGCCACATCAAAATTAGACGCGCTGTCATCCTCTCATACTGACTCCTGACACCACACATACACACGTAGGGAGAGCCGGGACGAAAGTAACACGGGACGAAAGTAACGGAGCGATTTTATCCGAGCCCAAACAACTTTGACCGGCCAAATTACGTCAGAATGATCAGCATTCAATACTTAACAGACCTACTAAATATCAGGTTTAACTGTCAGGAGTAGCTAGTGTTGTCACGATACCAACATTTTGGTTTCGATACCAAGTCAAGAATTGCGATTCCGATTCTTTTTCGATACTTTTCTTAAAAAAAGGGAAACAGTCTTAAATGTAATTATTGTGCTTTATTTCACACCAGAACCATAACCATAACACACACTTTTAAACAATGAGAACAATAAATAAAAGAAATGACAAGAATTCGTATTAAATCAAATTAATACATTTCTTACAGACAGGCCTCGTGGTGTCCGTAGGCTTGCCCTCACTGTCAGAGATATAGCTAAAATACTTCCAAATGTCACTTCTGGCGTCTTTTTTGTCAAGAAGCCGAGGCGCAGCGGCAGCTGCACTCCCACTTGCAGCCATGCTTCTCGTTTTCTCACGTGCTCTGGCAGCTAGCGCGTGCACGAGAGAGGGGAGGCACTTGAGCGTGCTTGAGAGGGGCGGGACTGCAGGCACGGCTGCAGTGCAGGGAGTGGAAGCAGAGCGCTGAACACACACGGCTCTTATTAAACGAGTACTTTTCCCCGTCATTCTTAAAGTACCGATACTAATGAAACGGAGGAACGTTTTTAACGGCAGGGTATCGCGGTACCTTTCAAGTATCGGTACACCGTGCAACACTAGTCAGGAGTCAGTGTCTCTCCCCCAAACTCACACATATACAATTCGATATGAACTGAAGAGCCGCATGAAACTAGGCAAAGAGCCGCATGGGGCTCGAGAGCCGCGGGTTGGCCACCCCTGATGTAGAAGATACATGAAGAAGAGGGGACACATGTTGATGTAGAAGAGACATGAAGAAGAGGGGACACATGTTGATGAAGAAGAGACATGAAGAAGAGGGGACACATGTTGATGTAGAATAGACATGAAGAAGAGGGGACACATGTTGATGTAGAAGAGACATGAAGAAGAGGGGACACATGTTGATGTAGAAGAGACATGAAGAAGAGGGGATACATGTTGATGAAGAAGAGACATGAAGAAGAGGGGACACATGTTGATGTAGAAGAGACATGAAGAAGAGGGGACACATGTTGATGTAGAAGAGACATGAAGAAGAGGGGAAACATGTTGATGTAGAAGAGACATGGAGAAGAGGGGACACATGTTGATGTAGAAGAGACATGAAGAAGAGGGGACACCTGTTGATGTAGAAGAGACATGAAGAAGAGGGGACACATGTTGATGTAGAAGAGACATGAAGAAGAAGAGACATGAAGAAGAGGGGACACATGTTGATGTAGAAGAGACATGAAGAAGAGGGGACACATGTTGATGTAGAAGAGACATGAAGAAGAGGGGACACATGTTGATGTAGAAGAGACATGAAGAAGAGGGGACACATGTTGATGTAGAAGAGACATGAAGAAGAGGATTGTGCATAATAGGTAACCTTTCATTTGAAGGCTGAAAAGCACGTGAGGGTCTCTTACTTTGTTTCGTAGTTCCAGATGCGCACGGAGTGGTCCAGAGAGCTCGTGGCGGCCAGAGGCTTTCTGATGCAGACGGATAAACCTGTGATGGACTTGGAGTGGAAGGACTGCGACAGGAACTCAAAATGAGGTTCCTCCTGATGGATAGGGTTATAACATGATTTCAAGTCAAGGGGAAGTGTTTTTTATGAGGAAAACATGATGGGAAGAAGGACAGTAGATGACTGAATGTGGCAAGGAGGCAATGGATGGGATGTAAGAAAGACTTTAAATCTCTTACATGCTAAAATCGCTAGGTGTTAGGTCAAAAGAAAACATGCAGAAAGAGTCAAATTACATATGGCAATTTAATTAAAATAGTTCATTGGTGACAAGTTTACATCCAACTGCACCTAATATTCTACCTCATACCGTTTTTATAGAACACATATTTATTTCTAGTTCTGTAATGTGCATATATGGGGCGTAGCCTGCGAGCTAGTTCAGGCAGTCAACTCGAGCACTTATGCTGCATTCATACATAACGCCCTTTGCCACTCTACAACCAACCAAACAGAGTCTCCTTAATATGCCGCTCTATTGAACCTGATATCTCTCTATGCTTTGCGTGCTGCTGCTATTGCTGCAGCGACTTCCAAGTCGCTGCTGCTTGCTGCCCCACCACCACCCCAGCTTCCACCCAGCTTCCACCCCACCACCACCCCAGCTTTCACCCAGCTTCCACCCCACCACCACCTCAGCTTCCACCCCAGCTTCCACCCCACCACCACCCCAGCTTCCACCCCACCACCACCCCAGCTTCCACCCCAGCTTCCACCTCACCACCACCCCAGCTTTCACCCAGCTTCCACCCCACCACCACCTCAGCTTCCACCCAGCTTCCACCCAGCTTCCACCTCACCACCACCCCAGCTTCCACCTCACCACCACCCCAGCTTCCACCCCAGCTTCCACCCCAGCTTCCACCCAGCTTCCACCTCACCACCACCCCAGCTTCCACCTCAGCTTCCACCCCAGCTTCCACCCAGCTTCCACCCCAGCTTCCACCTCAGCTTCCACCCCACCACCACCCCAGCTTCCACCCAGCTTCCACCCAGCTTCCACCCCAGCTTCCACCTCAGCTTCCACCCCACCACCACCCCAGCTTCCACCTCACCACCACCCAAGCTTCCACCCCATCACCACCCCAGCTTCCACCCAAGCTTCCACCCCATCACCACCCCAGCTTCCACCCCACCACCACCCCAGCTTCCACCTCAGCTCCACCCCAGCTTCCACCCCAGCTTCCACCCCAGCTTCCACCTCAGCTTCCACCCCATCACCACCCCAGCTTCCACCCAGCCTCCACCCCAGCTTCCACCCCAGCTTCCATCCCACCACCACCCCAGCTTCCACCCAAGCTTCCACCCAAGCTCCACCCCAGCTTCCACCCAGCTTCCACCCCATCACCACCCCAGCTTCCACCCCACCACCACCCCAGCTTCCACCCAGCTTCCACCCCATCACCACCCCAGCTTCCACCCCATCACCACCCCAGCTTCCACCCAGCCTCCACCCCAGCTTCCACCCCATCACCACCCCAGCTTCCACCCCATCACCACCCCAGCTTCCACCCCACCACCACCCCAGCTTCCACCCAGCCTCCACCCCAGCTTCCACCCCAGCTTCCACCCAGCCTCCACCCCAGCTTCCACCCCAGCTTCCACCCCACCACCACCCCAGCTTCCACCTCAGCTTCCACCCCACCACCACCCCAGCTTCCACCCCATCACCACCCCAGCTTCCACCCCAGCTTCCACCCCAGCTTCCACCCCATCACCACCCCAGCTTCCACCTCAGCTCCACCCAGCTTCCATAAAAATACATGGCATTGTACAATAAAAATTCAACTACTAGAAATAAACAAGCAAGTAGTAACAGGGTATAAGCAGGAATCCTGAAGTCAAATGTAATTCCCTTTAAAACCTTTTTTAAGACCCTTTCCATACATTTTTAGACCTCATCGCCACTTGGAGTTCTAACCGGTTACCTTGGCGACACACTTTACCTCACATTGACTATATACAGTATTGATTGTCCTTCCTCCTTATCTTCCAACCATTTGGACGCAGACTTGCATTTCCCCATAACGATGTTGCTTAGCAACCGGCGTAAACGGACCTTCGCGCGCTATCAAGCAGTGAGCGCGCGATGTCCTGTTCAGATGACGTCAAATCCAACGGGATGCCATCAATAAACTACACAGAATCACACTACACACCTACAATGATTACATTCAGGCAGACTGTAGAATACAACCTCTTTGGACCATTCATATACTTACTGAAAACAAGCTACAACATGTAATACCTTGGAAAATACCTTTTAATACTTTTTAATAGCCTTCATTTTCACTAAATTGATTTATCAACTTTTAACACTTTTGAAGACCCCGGGGTCACCCTGAGTAATCTAATTTCATATAGTGGAGGTTTTGGAGGAGGACATCATAGCAAAATGATCCTAGTAGTAAAATAGCCCTTCATTAATAAAACGACAACAAATGTTTGACACGGGTAGAAAACATTGAAGTGTTTTAGATCTAATCAATAAGGAAGTTTTTTTTCTCACAAACAACGTCACCTTGTTGAAGTCCAGAGAGGACAGGCTGAAGCTGTACAGCTGTCCTCTTTCGGTGCTGAGGACCAGAGTCTCCTCTGATGGACTCAAACACATCGTGTCAATCAGCTGACTGTCAGCCGGGGTCAGATCACTGCTGTCTGCTGGGATCTGAAGGACAACAACACACATATGATCACTTGGAAACACACACAGTAACACTGTTAACCTGCTTTGACACGTACCCGTATGTCTCTTGTCCTTCTATAACCGTCCTCCTTTGTCTTTTCAAAGAGACAAACAGTGCCGGCACCATAAGAGCATATGAAGCCTTTAGAGAAACACAGAATGGCTGTGATGCGAGGAACAGAGACACCTTCATCCACATCAGAGTCTTTCATCGTCTTCATGGCCACTTGTCTGAGCAGGGAATTATTGAAAGGGAGAAAAACAAAGTCAAGGAAACCAAAACCATAGTGGAGTGGCTTGAATATAAGAACACTGACCTAAGGACTACCATTTTCCAGCTTGACATGATGGGCTTTCTTTCAGAGATTGCAGCTACTTCTTCACTAGATGTTCCTTCTTTCAAACTATTTGTTTTTACAGTAAACAATAGATCAACGCTGAGTGGCAGGTCTTACTGTGTCAAGTGAAGTCTAAAGTAATCACATTAATGAATAAGTCACCTCATTTGCTTGGTAGTTGGATAATGTCAGTGTTGGTGTATCGGTAGGATTGAACAGAGTAACCTATAAACTAGAAAATGACCCTCTGAAAAGTGTGGATTGTGGCCGTTTCTCAATCGCGAGTATACCTGCTGCAGAGCAACTATTTCAAGTATACTATGTCATAGAGTGGCGCAGAATGCTGGGCATTTAACATGCATTTACTGTAAACAGTCCTTCGGCGCCACTCGATGAAGTAGTATTAGGGGTGTAACGGTACACGTACCCATACCGAAATTATTCGGTACGGGCCCTTCGGTTCGGTACAGGTGTGTACCGAAGTGTACCGAACGAATATAACGTTAAACGTAAAAAATTGAGAACGTGAACAACTTGTTGGAAGTAATCTCAGGTGCTGCGTCGCAGCATTCAGAGTAATTTGCTCACATTGGGTTCAACGCGTCACAGAGCGAGCAAGTCATTTCATTGGATGAGAGGCATACTATGAGAGCTGGTCACAGGGATGCGTTCAAATGTAGTCAGTAATTTGAGGAACTGTCAAAATGGCGAACGCAGATAAAGTTGAGCTGAAAATCCTCCAGCATCATTGAAGTCTCCGGTTTGGGAACATTTTGGTTTCGCAGTTACGAACAAGGATGACGGACAAAGACAGGTGGACCGAACCAAAGCTGTTTGTCGGCATTGTTCAACTAACATTGGTTACGCGGCTGGCAATACATCAAACTTGCACACTCTTGAAAAGGCATCACCCGAACGTGAATATCACCGGTACCAAAAGAAAAAAGACTGAAGTGCAAACCCAACTCCCGCTAGCATGTAAGCCTCCACCACTCGCAGAGAGTTCAGACCGAGCCAAAGCTATTACAAACGCCAAGTATCCTTATGTTGCCATGTTAGCAAAGCGCTACCTGGCTGTATCTGCTACCTCTGTCCCTAGCGAGAGGGTGTTCTCCACAGCAGGAGACATTGTTAGTGCCAGCAGATCTGCCCTTTCGGCAAGCAATGTGGACAAGTTCATCTTTCTTTAAACAACATGAAAATACAATGACAAGCAAGTCACAATGTCAAGCTGGCTGCTTAGGTGCTAGTACAGTACAGTTCAAATACAGATTATTTCAGTTCATCGAAAAGCTGCACCTTAATGTTTATTTTATTATATTTTGTATTTGAGTGAATATTCACAGTTTAATAATAATTAAAAACCCAAAACTAATAGTTTATGTTTTGTGAGTACTAATAGCCTACAGTAAAGTTCAAATACAGATTATTTCAGTTCATCGAAATGCTGCACCTTAATGTTTATTTTATTATATTTTGTATTTATTTGAGTGAATACATTATTCACAGTTTAATAATAATAAAAAATATATATATATATATGTTTTGTTTTGTGAAAAAAAATTCTGCTGTACCGAAAACGTACCGAACCGAACCGTGACCAAAAAACCGAGGTACGTACCGAACCGAAATATTTGTGAACCGTTACACCCCTACGTAGTATACTTGAAATAGTTGCTCTGCAGCAGGTTTACTCGACATTGAGAAACGGCCTATGTGACTTGCACTTGTCCCGATACTACCATTACCAGTGCTAAGTAGGTAATAATAGAAGTAGCTGTATTTTTGCTTTCTTGTGCTTTTATTTTTAAAAAACAACCTTAACTAGAGCTTCCTTTTTTGATGCAGTGATTTTATTGGGCTTTTATTTAGAAAAAACAACCTTAACTAGAGCTTCCTTTGTTGATGCCGTTATTTTATTGGGCTTTTATTTTGAAAAAATAACCTTAACTAGAGCTTCCTTTTTCGATGCAGTGATTTTATTGGGCTTTTATTTTGAAAAAACAACCTTAACTAGAGCTTCCTTTTTCGATGCAGTGATTTTATTGGGCTTTTATTTTGAAAAAGCAACCTTAACTAGAGCTTCCTTTTTCGATGCAGTGATTTTATTAGGCTTTTATTTTGAAAAAACAACCTTAACTAGAGCTTCCTTTTTCGATGCAGTGATTTTATTGGGCTTTTATTTTGAAAAAGCAACCTTAACTAGAGCTTCCTTTTTCGATGCAGTGATTTTATTGGGCTTTTATTTTGAAAAAGAAACCTTAACTAGAGCTTCCTTTTTCGATGCAGTGATTTTATTGGGCTTTTATTTTGAAAAAGCAACCTTAACTAGAGCTTCCTTTTTCGATGCAGTGATTTTATTAGGCTTTTATTTTGAAAAGGCAATCTTAACTAGAGCTTCCTTTTTCGATGCAGTGATTTTATTGGGCTTTTATTTTAAAGGGGTGTTGGTTGGGGGGTGAGATTTATATTTTTAGTTTGATCTATTATTGGACTTCAACTTGTAATATTTGTGTCCTGTTTTTCTTCCATTAACCCGTTTTCATTTGTATTTCATTGTAAAATGGAGCAACAGTCAGAAGCGAAACTAACCAATGAGTGAATAACCAGTGTTATCACAGTAAACACTCCACCAGCTCACCTGTCTGTTTCCTGCGCCGATGTATTGATCTCTCTCCTCAGATCTCCAGACTCGAACACCAGCAGGCGTCCTGAGTCTGTCCCAGCGATCACTCTCTCCTCCGTCACCCAGCTGTGACACAGGAAGAAGATGGACTCCACTTTGGGGGAGCTGCTCTGCTTCAGGGCTCCTTCTGAGTAACGAAACAGCTTCAACACACCGCCTCCACTCACACACAGCTGCGTGTTGTTGTGAGGGTTGAAGCTGACCTGAAGGGACATCAAGGAACTACTTTATTACACGGCAAGGTTGAATACTCGATTCTGATTGGTACATTTGAACCATTTCAAGGTTTGATATTACTCTCTCTACAGACCGTTGCTAAGGACAATCTGATCATAGGTGGAAAGTACAAAAAAACTGTATTTTACTTATTTCCATTTCATGCTACTTTTACTTCACTACAATTTGGAAGAAAGTATTGCACTTTTTTACTCACTATATTTATTTGAACAAATTAGTTACTTTGCAGGTTCATATCGTGAATACAAAATATAAATCAACTAATGAATTATGATGTATTAAGAAAGCATTAAGCAGTATACAAATATATTAAAGTTAGCCCCAGCTTCACCAGCAGCAAAGTGATAACGATAATTAATGGATCATTCATTATAATCCAGAGATAATATATATTACTCTGAAAATGGCCAATTCGCTAAATGAGTACTCTTCATTTGGTACTCTATGTATGATAAAACGTTTTGTATGTAGTACTTTTACTTGTCACAGAGTATTTATACACTGTTGAATCTTACTTTTTTTTAAACACAAACAACGTTTCATGCCGCCAGTAAAGAAGACTATATTTCTTAGCAAAAGCAATAGAATGATTTTTAAACTTAAAAAAATAAGTTTTAATAAATATGTTTTATCCAATCATTGATGTATTCAGGAAGTAGCCGTGCTCAGCTCATGGCTGTATCGTTACAGGACAGAGGACTCACCTGGGAAACAGGATTATGGGACGTACTGGTCTTCACTGTTGCCAGGACCTTCTGTTTTTCCCAAAGCCAGAAGATCAGCATCCAATCAGGGCCTCCCGTCTGTCCGATCAGATACTTTGAATCGTGAGAGAAAGCCATGCAGACGAACTCTTCAGCGGTCGACTCTCCTGCCGTCAGGACCTTCCTCTTCCGGCCCTGCTCGTGCTGCAGGTCGAACACGGTGATGGAGGCTCTCTCTCCGCACTCTGACACCGCCAGGTACCGCCTGTTAGGACTGAGGGCCAGAGCGTGCATACCCTGACTCTTCTCTGAGCCTGAAGGGGGAGGAAATGAGAGGGAAAACATGGGAACAATGATTTAGGGATATGATAAGGTTTAGAAAAGTTATTGTTTTTGAGGCCAATAAGAGACGGTGCAATGTTAATGTCTGTGTTAGACTATGGTGGTGTTGTTTATATGAATGGATCTTCTAAATGACGAGGCTCTCTGGAAACCGTTTAAAGCAGTGGTCCCCAAACTAAGGCCCGCGGGCCGGGTACGGCCCGCCTCCACATTTGGCCCGGCCCCCTGAACAATACCAGACGCATTATGATTTATTTATTTTTTATTACATTTTTTTTTCAGTCTGGCCACGCGAATCCTAGACTAGCCCCTGTCAAAATGTTGTGACCTGCTCTATCGAAATCAGTCGCATTGACCCGAAGACACCTTTTGAGTTGTATACACTGTTGGAAAGAGGATATTCATAGCTTTCTCATGATATCAGGATTGTTTTTGTACTTCAAATATTAAGCGAAATATGTCACATTATATAATGACTGTCACAGAGTCATCATTTTGAGAAAAAGGCCTTCAAAGTTGTCTCTTCTCTGGAATCCATCGATCTGATTGATTATTAGCGGAGCAAATGATCAAAATACTACCGAGGGAAGATATTTTCGTTTGGAGGGGAAGCTCGCGAGTGTGTGTCAGTGTGTGTGCTTGTGTAATTTTGCGTTTGTGTGTATTGTGTTTGTTTCCCGGGGAAAACACTCACGAGAAACACTGGCTGTTGTTATGCCTGCCATTCTCCGCTTGTAATTATGCCGAAGCTTCAAAGTTGTATTTATCATCTGAATTTGCCGAAACAAGTTTAATATTCTGAAAGCCAAGACTTTGTTTAATTGAAATCAGATGAAAACAAACTGTAATGGACCCTGCCGTGTTATCTATGATTACTATACTCTTACATTCATAATTTCAGCGGAGTGAGGGGGGGGGGCGGCGCTGCGGAACAGCAGATTGCGAGTGAGAAATAAATAAATTGGAAATAAAAGTTTCATATTCTGAAAGCCAAGACTTTGTTTGTTTAAAATCAAACAAAACACCCGAACCCCGAAAAAAATAGTTTTTTTTACGTAAATCCACGTTTATTTTGAGAGATTCTGCTCTGACAACTAAGCTCAACTTTTACCTGTTAAGATTGTGCACGGCTGTTATCTAACCGACAGGTCCGCACTCACTCTCCAGCTGAAACTCTCTCCTTATTAATTTAAGCATTGTACTTATTAATGTATGCAGACAATCACACAATCTATGTGATTTTTGGATTTACCGTGCCTCTCAATTGCCCGTGACAGGTTGGCAAGGTCGATGAATCCTGAAGTTGCCCAAGGATTGTTCAGGGAGCACGAATCCTTGTCAAAAACAAGACATGGCCAGCAAATTAGACGCTGAAGTTTAGCGCTTCCAGTTAGCCACTCCGTGCGGACATAAATGTCCTCATTGAACGTCCGATTCTCTCCCTTTTTCCTCTGCGTACACACAGCTCGAGTGCGGGCATTGGCCTGTCATCTGATTTAATTGTTAGTTGCTGCTGTAGCGGAAGTTTAGTAAAGTTATGTTTGATTAAGTACGCCAAATCTCCTCCCTCCATAATGCTTCATTTGCTTGATAATTTCTAACGGCGGTGATGACAGTTACAGTATTAAAACTGATGTTGATGTGATTTGATTGGATGGCAGTGTCCAATCAATTCGCCAGCCGCCTCTGAAGGGAAGCAAGAGGCGGCTGGCTTCCCTTGGCATGGCCCTGACCAATCACAGGTTGGCAGGGGCATCACGTGGGCCTCATCTGATTGGTCAATCCCTCCATTTTTTTTCACCAAAGGAAGCTAGATTCGGCTGGCCTCCTTTCGCAGCAGAGAGTGCAATCTACTGTTCCACCATAACATCTAGAGGGGCTCTGTTTCACTCTTTGTAAAATACTCAATGAGAATGGGGGAGAGACGGCCGGCAGCAACACACAGCAAAGGAGAATTATCGAAACAAAACAAAGTGTTTTTATTTATTTATTTAAATTAGAACTACAATCCGAAAAAACAGGGGAAGCCTGGCTTCCCTTGGCCTCCGGGAGAAAACGCCACTGACCCAGAGAGGGTTATTTGGTTATTATTTATTTCATAAATAGTGTTATTTATTTCATTAATAGTGTTATTAATAGTGTTATGTTGAAAAGTGCTATATAAATCAACTTGCCTTGCCTTGCCTTGCCTTGCCTTATTATTTATTTCCTGACTTTTTGTCTGTGAAGATCCCGGAAAGGGTTATTAATATTTGGTTATGTGTGGCTTTCTAGAAAACAATAAATGTTTACGTTTAGACACCCATGCGATCGTCACACTTTTTCTGTTACAAACTGACCCGGCCCCCATCAGAGAAGGGACAAGTTATGTGGCCCTCACAGGAAAAAGTTTGGGGACCCCTGGTTTAAAGCATCAAAAAGCATTCATGTCCCAGTCTTTGAAAGTGAGTCAGCTAAAATGTCCCCAATTGTGATCAATAAAGTACATCTTATCCTAACTTAGCTTAGCATCTCATACAGCACTGAAGCCTACTTTAAATCCACTAAAGAAATGTATCTGTGTTTAACAGAGGTGGTACTGTAGAAGTACTCAGATATTTTACTTGAGTAAAAGTAGAAGTACTCAGATCTTGTACTTGAGTAAAAGTAGAAGTACTCAGATATTTTACTTGAGTAAAAGTAGAAGTACTCAGATCTTGTACTTAGAAAAAGTAGAAGTACTCAGATCTTGTACTTGAGTAAAAGTAGAAGTACTCAGATATTTTACTTGAGTAAAAGTAGAAGTACTCAGATCTTGTACTTAGTAAAAGTAGAAGTACTCAGATCTTGTACTTGAGTAAAAGTAGAAGTACTCAGATATTTTACTTGAGTAAAAGTAGAAGTACTCAGATCTTGTACTTGAGTAAAAGTAGAAGTACTCAGATATTGTACTTGAGTTTAAGTAGAAGTACTCAGATATTTTACTTGAGTAAAAGTAGAAGTACTCAGATCTTGTACTTGAGTAAAAGTAGAAGTACTCATATCTTGTACTTGAGTAAAAGTACTCAGATCTTGTACTTGAGTAAATGTAGAAGTACTCAGATCTTGTACTTGAGTAAAAGTAGAAGTACTCAGATCTTGTACTTGAGTTAAAGTAGAAGCACTCAGATCTTGTACTTGAGTTAAAGTAGAAGCACTCAGATCTTGTACTTGAGTGAAAGTAGAAGTACTCAGATCTTGTACTTGAGTAAAAGTAGAAGTACTCAGATCTTGTGCTTGAGTAAAAGTAGAAGTACTCAGATCTTGTACTTGAGTAAAAGTAGAAGTACCAGAGTGTAGGAATACTCTGTTTCAGTAAAAGTCCTGCATTCAAAATGTTCCTCAAGTGAAAGTAGAAAAGTATTCTCATCAAAATATAGTGAAAGTAGCGACAGTAAAAGTAGTCGTTGTGCAGATTGGTCCATTTCAGAATAATATATATGATATGTTTTATAATGATTGATCATGAAAGTGTTCTCAAAGCTGGTGAAGGTGCAGCTAGTTTGAATGACTTTGTATACTGCAGGGTAGCTGGTGGATTTACTCCAGGTGGAACTAAAGTCTGATTCAACACTTGGTTATATTTCACATCATTCATCCACATCTGTGAAGTAACTAAAGGTATTAAATACATGTAGTGGAGTAGAAGTACACCATGTACCTCTGAACTGTAGTGGAGTAGAAGTACACAGTAGCAGCAAATGGAAATACGCAGGTATCTCATTGAACTTACTGTACTTACCTCAGGCTCTGACCGTTCAAGATGTGTAACAGTAAGTAAACTATATTTTGTCCTACCTGGGATGAACCTCTGAGACCTCCTGGAGGTGTTGTAGCACACACAGGTGTTTCCGCAGGGGAACACCACGGTGTTTTCATCACAGAAACTCACGCTGTTCCTCACTCCTGTCCGCAGCCCGAAGCTGAACAAAGGCTGGGCCACAACTGAGGACATCTTCACTGGACTTTAAAGCAGTGTTTAATGCCTAAACTCACCTAAAACTCTCCACACATTCAGACTAACTTAATCAACACATATTAACTTAGTTTTGAAGCCAGAAAAAAGCACAGAAAACGGAATAAAAACAAAACAGGGACAGGTTGGATGTGCTGGTGTGGTTAGAGTCCCGTCGCTAGGTAACCAATGAAATCTCGCGAGAGTTCGTTTATAGTTCCCTCTCCACTGCCGCACCAACGTCTCTATCAATCATATATATACATAATAAAACAGGTTTTATATGATCGTTTCTTTATCTTTTCCCGGACATTGTACCATAAACTAAATGCCCAGCTTTTGTGTTTCCTGTACTGTATTATATATATTATAATGTGTTATGTTTATTTGTTAATGATACGAGTCTTCTTCCGGGATTTCGGGGGTTGCCTAGTAACGCAACTCACTAGCTTTGTGCTGAAATGCAAACCACTCAAGCACTATATTATTATGAATACATTATTGAGGTATGTTTGCTTTAAATTACAGTCGGATTATCATAATAAAGATTACTGCTACTTTGTTCAATATCTAAGGGGGATTCATTGAACTTTTTGAATGTTATCAGGTTCATATTTGGCAGCAATGGGAGACATTTCCTTTTCACATGAATACAAACAATAACAAAGAAAAGTCACAACAATCCAGGCTGTGTAGTCAAAGGCTTTAATGGCAGGATTTAATAACACCAGTGAGCGGTTTTGCATCTCTCATTAGAAAACAACAATGACAGTGAATTGTCGAACAATTGTTTGTTTGAATCGTTCTTGTTGGTTGTCAACATGTCGAAGAATCTATCTGACTTGTAGATTGTTCTGTGATCAGCGACAAGCAGTAGCTGTGTCCCAATTCAGCGGCTGCAAAAAATGGCCCTTCAATTCAAATATGTTTGACCAACGTATGGCAACTAAATGAAACCCAATTCAATATTCTGAATACATGATAAGCCTGTGTACTTAAGGCTCAGAACCCAGAACGAATGATGCATTTTGGCCACCCTTGTCCCCTCCCATGTTAACCATGTCCTATTTTAGCACCATAATAGACCAAGTCTAAAGATATCAACATTAACATCCAACCTTAACACATCAAAAAGCTTAGCAGGTTAATGGCAAATATACTGTATCCATAACATTTATGTAGAACTTCATCATGCCTTAGCGTCGCAAAGTAAACACAAATAGTGTTTACTCCAAAGTATTGGTGTCTCTGCAGAGGCCTTTGTAAAAACACTACCTTGTCATGCTACTTCTGACCATTTACATGAATGAGGAAGGTTTCTTAAATGTCGATCCATTTCACAGACTACCTTTATGCCCTTTTAAAGTTTAGCTTATTTAACATGTTCACATTCAGCACTTTGTTGTGGGAAAAAGAAAATCCATATTGGATCATGAAAGAGTTATGTACAATTAGAAGATCATGAAATAAACAAGTATATGCATCAATTTTTCTTAATTTATGGGTTGTCTTCCCGTCAACTGGCAACTTTTGTCCTGGTTTCACGGTCTATAAAGCACATCATCCCCCATGTCTGTGCACGTTTTAAACTTAGTTCCAATTCACAACACAAGTTTTACTTGTTTATGGGATTTATGGTCAATATACCTCATTTACACAAAACTAAACCTTATTTTGGGTGATAAAAGGCAAAAACAAATATTACTTTGACTTTAGTTCAGTGGAACCCATCTTGGTGAATAAACTATTACATGTCAACATTTAGTCTTGATACTGTTTTAAAACCATTTCAAATATTTGATGGCAGCATGTAATGACACCAGATACTATAAATACAAAAACACGCAGAATTCAATGAAAGTAGTGACCATTCATTTTTCTTACAAAGAACGTAGTATGAAATCCTCCATGTTGTTTTTGTGGCAATAAGCTAAAATAGTCCATTTAGAAACGGGTCAGATTCGACCCGAGGGCAACTGGAATGTTAATATGTAATGAAGCCCCTTTGCTATACTAGTTAATGCATCTAGACTAAAATCCCTTTATAGATAATAGGATCTGAGGAGTATGAATGCTACAATATAATACACTGTACACAGCTTGACTGGCCCAGCAGGAGGCGGTGTTCAGCAGGAGATGACCAGGGCGTTCAGAGACTGCTGACTCTGCGTTCTCTCCAGAGGACCAGCAGCAGAGAGGATCTCACAGGCAGCCAGCTCATGGTAGAGAGCGTTCAGCACCTCCAGGATGTGGGCTTTACCTGTGCACACAACACAGTGACCAATGAGGGAGTCATTTTTCAACCCTCTGAATTTTGCACATTGCACACAAAGCTACCTCTTATATCTGCACGGCCTTCCACTTGTCGTACCAATTCTGCACATATTTTATTCTATGTTATTTGTACGGGTATGCACCATACCCAACATCTGTAATACAACACTGTGCAATATATACCGTCATCTGGCAGCTACTTCATAACATTCTAGTTGTCTCACTTGTTGTTTTAATGATGCTGCTTCTTACCTTTTTGTACTTGGAAAGTGTACACCGAAAAATCGGAAAAGTTGTCTTTAATTAAATGTAATATGTCCACAGATTTCACATAACTTTATAAGGTAAGTTTAAAGCAATAATATCATGTTTAAATAATTAGTTTCGACTTAATATTATTGCTTTCAACATACCTCATAAAGTTATGGGAAATCTGTTGACATAATACATGTAATTAATATTTGTGCATGACACTTTACTAAATAGTGTTTTTATTTGTATCTATCATTATTGCCTCTTTGCTGTCGCAATGTAAATTCCCCTTTGAGGGATTAATAAGGGAATTCCGATTCTGAAGACCAGGCAAGCATTTCATTCAATCCCCGCCCTGAGTAACAGTAAACGCTCATGATCACGTTTCACAGGACTTGTATTGATTTTATTGGCCGAGCGTGCCCTCCTCACCGTGCTGAGGGTCGCTGCAGCAGCCCAGCGTGCTGAGCAGGATTTTCCCCAGAGACCTCCGCGAGACATTCTGAAACAAGAGAGAACCATTCTCAGATGACTGTCTGTGATTAACAGGCGCTTTAACAGGCAATCTGAGACTCGTAACCACAGAGGCTCACACACACATGTTCAACAACTGAAATTAATTTGCTCTCAGATCTCAAATCAATCCCAGTGTTAGGGGCGGATCACAAAAGAATGGACAAGAATTCGCATAACTCCTATCACAGAAAACAGGTCGAAGAGGACTTTTAAATTAAATCATCAATTAGTTAAAGAGGACCTATTATGCTTTTTGGAGGGTTTCCCTTTCCTGTAGTGTGTTCTATAGGTTTCTGTGTATGTCAATTGTCTGCAAAGACCCCCCCCATCCCAACTGCCTGAAACATCTTCATTTGACTTATTTGTTTACTTCTGAAACATAGTGACATCATTATGTAACACTAACGCTCCTATTGGCTAGCACTCCAACACATTGTACTTGATAGGCTAAGGGGCGGGACATCTCTAAGCAGTTGACCAATCACAACAGAACATTAAAGCATGGAGACATGTCACAGTAGAGACACTACACTGATATACACCTGAACATCAGCAGGAGAGGACTCTTTAAAGTAGAGACACTACATACTGATATACACCTGAACATCAGCAGGAGAGGACTCTTTAAAGTAGAGACACTACATACTGATATACACCTGAACATCAGCAGGAGAGGACTCTTTAAAGTAGAGACACTAAATACTGATATACACCTGAACATCAGCAGGAGAGGACTCTTTAAAGTAGAGACACTACATACTGATATACACCTGAACATCAGCAGGAGAGGACTCTTTAAAGTAGAGACACTAAATACTGATATACACCTGAACATCAGCAGGAGAGGACTCTTTAAAGTAGAGACACTACATACTGATATACACCTGAACATCAGCAGGAGAGGACTCTTTAAAGTAGAGACACTACATACTGATATACACCTGAACATCAGCAGGAGAGGACTCTTTAAAGTAGAGACACTACATACTGATATACACCTGAACATCAGCAGGAGAGGACTCTTTAAAGTAGAGACACTACATACTGATATACACCTGAACATCAGCAGGAGAGGACTCTTTAAAGTAGAGACACTACATACTGATACACACCTGAACACCAGCAGGAGAGGACTCTTTAAAGTAGAGACACTACATACTGATATACACCTGAACATCAGCAGGAGAGGACTCTTTAAAGTAGAGACACTACATACTGATATACACCTGAACATCAGCAGGAGAGGACTCTTTAAAGTAGAGACACTACATACTGATATACACCTGAACATCAGCAGGAGAGGACTCTTTAAAGTAGAGACACTACATACTGATATACACCTGAACATCAGCAGGAGAGGACTCTTTAAAGTAGAGACACTACATACTGATATACACCTGAACATCAGCAGGAGAGGACTCTTTAAAGTAGAGACACTACATACTGATACGACTCAGGTTCTGGTCCAGGCTCTCGTCATCTCACGCCTAGACTACTGCAACTCCCTCCTGGCTGGTCTACCTGCATGTGCCATCCGACCTCTGCAGCTCACCCAGAATGCAGCGGCTCGTCTGGTCTTCAACCTTCCTAAATTCTCCCACACCACTCCGCTCCTCCGCTCCCTTCACTGGCTTCCGGTAACTGCTAGAATCCACTTCAAGACACTGGTACTTGCTTACCGTGCTGCGAATGGATCTGGCCCTTCCTACATCCAGGACATGGTTAAACCGTACACCCCAGCACGTGCACTACGCTCTGCATCAGCCAAACGACTCGTTGCGCCCTCGCTGCGAGGGGGACCCAAGTTCCCATCGGCGAAAACACGTGGGTTTGCTATCCTGGCTCCAAGATGGTGGAATGAGCTCCCCATTGACATCAGGACGGCAGATAGCTTGCACATCTTCCGGCGCAAACTGAAAACTCATCTCTTTCGACTCCACCTCGAGCGTTAGAACGATTAACGAAGCACTTTTATACCAATAAAGGACTGGATTACCTAAAGCCAGTTGAGTAGCACTTGAAATGTTTGGCTCTATGAAACCTGATGTACTTATATGATTCTGTTTTCTTCAAGGTTGTGTCTTCCTGGTCGAATGTACTTATTGTAAGTCGCTTTGGACAAAAGCGTCAGCTAAATGTAATGTAATGTAATGATACACACCTGAACATCAGCAGGAGAGGACTCTTTAAAGCAGAGACACTACGTACTGATATACACCTGAATATCAGCAGGAGAGGACTCTTTAAAGCAGAGACACTACGTACTGATATACACCTGAATATCAGCAGGAGAGGACTCTTTAAAGTAGAGACACTACATACTGATATACACCTGAACATCAGCAGGAGAGGACTCTTTAAAGTAGAGACACTACATACTGATATACACCTGAACATCATCAGGAGAGGACTCTTTAAAGTAGAGACACTACATACTGATATACACCTGAACATCATCAGGAGAGGACTCTTTAAAGTAGAGACACTACATACTGATACACACCTGAACATCAGCAGGAGAGGACTCTTTAAAGCAGAGACACTACATACTGATATACACCTGAATATCAGCAGGAGAGGACTCTTTAAAGTAGAGACACTACATACTGATATACACCTGAACATCAGCAGGAGAGGACTCTTTAAAGTAGAGACACTACATACTGATATACACCTGAACATCAGCAGGAGAGGACTCTTTAAAGCAGAGACACTACGTACTGATATACACCTGAACATCAGCAGGAGAGGACTCTTTAAAGCAGAGACACTACGAACTGATATACACCTGAACATCAGCAGGAGAGGACTCTTTAAAGTAGAGACACTACATACTGATATACACCTGAACATCAGCAGGAGAGGACTCTTTAAAGTAGAGACACTACATACTGATATACACCTGAAAGTGAGCAGAATATGTCTTCTTTAACACGTGCAGCTTTGACGCCAAAATACTGGAATAGTGATCAGCCTCTTCAGAGTTATAGCTATAGTTCCTCGTTCTACACATGTGTCTCACCAGGTCTCTGAGCTGCTGGAGGAGCTGCAGGATGTCGACCAGCTTCTCCTCCACCAGAGACAGACGAACCCTCTCAGTTTCCAGCATCTGAAGCTCCACCTGGAGCAGCTCCGTCTCCTCGGCCTTCTGCTGGAGCTCCTGCACCAGAGAGTCCTTCATCTGGAGGACACAGCAGACACAAGGGTCAGGAGGGTTACTTTAAACATGTATTAGGAATGTAAATGACCCCTAACCCATCACAGTCCCCCTGCTTCCACTCCTAAAATATTGAAGTGACTGTTATTTTGTATATATTGATTGTTGTGCTTTTATTTATGTCTTAATGTGTTCATATGTATGAATGTGTCTGTTGATTGTATTTTTATATATATATTTGTATTTTTGTATTCGGGATTGTGGGAAACGGTATTTCGATCACTCTGTCCAAACAAACGGAAAGATTGACAATAAAGTTGACTTTGACTACTGCTATTTATTTAATTGTTACTTTATTATTTTGCCCCCTCTTGTTTGTTTACCATGTAAAGCGGCCTTGGGTCCATTGAAAGGCGCTATACAAATGTATTCTATTATTATTATTATTATTAACTTAACCCTGGAGGTAAACGTCCTTTAGTGTACCTGCCACGCTGGGGAGTAATGGATTACTTGTAACGGGATAACATAATCGGGATACTTTTTTTTTACTGTATTCCCGTACAGTTACATATGAAAAAGATGTAAGATTACTGTTTCATTACAAACATTGGGGATTACTACGAGGACAATCCTACTAAATTTCTTTTAGCTCAGAATATTTTTGTATGTGCTGAAAAAAGGTAGGTTTTCCTGTAAATCAAATCATTATTGATCATAAATATCTTGGTTTCATCACATTGTTATGTTGTCGATTACACTTATTAAAAACGTCTTGTTATTTTAATAATCGAAAGGTATTGGAAACTAACCAGGTTACATTACTTTAATATTTTGATACTTAGAGTAGGTTACAGATTACATTTGTTCACAGGTAAGTAGTAATTGTAAAGGATTACATTTTTAAAGTAACCCTGTTAACATCGTAATGAAACATTACTTTACCTAACAAATATGAATAACCATTTCTAGAGTTACAGTGAGTTTCCGGAAGGCACGATAGGTCTGTGTGGAAATCCCACAGTGCACCTTTACGTCATGGCGTACTGAAGGACAGAGGTCTTACCCCACACTTCCTGCACATAAACAAAGCCTCACAGTCACGACTTTGTTTAGTTTGAACTTTTCCTCTCGGAGAGCGGGACGTACTGGGAACACATTACGTCACCTTCTGCCTGTCTTCCTGTGCTGTGAAAATACTGCTGTAGCAAGAGAGCTTTCATTTATGATATTCCTAAGTGTCATGTGGGACAAGGAGAGGGAGTGTTTCTGTGGTCGACTCCAGTGAGACACACACACACACACACACACACACACACACACACCACACACACACACACACACACACACACACACACACACACACACACACACACACACACACACACACACACACACACACACACACACACACACACACACACACACACACACACACACACACACACACACACACACACACACGCACACACAGGGAGGCTGCTTGCTGTGGTTTTTGCCTTTGAAGCTCTCCACTTTCAAAACAACCTTCAGCAGACGTCTCTAATCCAGTTTAATACTGCAATACTACTTATGTGCAATAAATATATATATATATACCGCTTTATACTTATAATTATTATTACTGGCTGCTGTCCCTTAGTTAGACAATTCAACTTCTGTAATCAATCTGTAAATAACTGTCAGTGTTTCCCACAGATATGAAATATACTTGGGCAGGTGGTGGCAAGGGGGGGGGGGTGCGCGAAAAAAAAAAAAAGTTTTAACAACATTATTTATTGACTTTTCATTCCGGTATAATCATTTTGCGCAAAGATGGCACTGTTTGTCAGAGCACTTCATCCTACTGGGATTTCATGAAGAACAGCTCCAACGCCTGTGTGTATGGGAATGCCTCTGGTGCTGGTCCATTAACTGCCAGTGTTTCCCACAGATCTGAAATATACTTTGGGGGGTGGTGGTAGCGGGGGGGGGTTGAGGTGACGTGCAACAACATTAACCTTTCTGTTGGTCGCTTGTTAGCAGACCCTTCACGCGATGGCAGAGCGAACAGGTACAGGTACAGGCAGGGTCCATAATGATAGCCCTATAGTTTAAATCTACTACCCACACATGAACATATGGAAATGGGTTACTATTTAAAAAAATAAATGTATTTATTAATGTATTTAGGAACCTATCCATGTGATTTTTAGTGGGGGTCGACCTCAAATCCTCTAGGGGGGTCCAGGGGCATGCCCCCCTGGTGCATTTTGAGGGGAAAATAAAGAGACTAGATCTATGGAAACACCTATATTTAACAGAACTGTATACATTTCAATAATCATAAAATCAAGGCCATAACCAACAACATACCATTTCCAATATGAAAAAAACACTGAAACTTGTTTATTAATTTAGTTTTGGTTCATTTATAGTTGTGAGTGTGTCTGTGCTCCTGAATCAGCCTCTCCTGTCTCCCTCCTCTCCCCCTGCTCCTCTTTGAGGCAGCAGCAAAGACTAGTTTTCTCTCAACAAGTTTTAAAAGTGTATCTTACCTTTTTTCACCTAGTTAACTTTTTATTTATTTATTCATGCATATTTTACTAATCACATTACATTTCATTTAGCTGACGCTTTTATCCAAAGCGACTTATAATGACCGATTACAGGGACATTCTCCCTGGAGTAACTAAGGGCTAAGTGCCTTACTCAAGGGCACACTAGTGGTGGTGTTCCTGGCGGGATTTGAACTCACAGCCTTCCGATCTTCAGCCCACCTCACTATCCATTAGACCAATCACTACCCTCTCAAATGGAAATATGTGTTTACATAAATGGTGACCACACCGTTTGAGACCCACTGAGAACTTAGACTAAGTTAACTATCTAAACACTCAGAGAGTCCTTTACCTCACCTGAGCTGAGGTTATCCCGAGCTTGAATGACACACAGAGACCAATCAAGGGCTTTGATTTATGATCTGTATGACAGTGGCCATGTCGGCAGGCCACATCATGTGGACAGCCAGTCACCCTGTGTGAGGCAGGCCACTTAACAGGCCAGAAGGAGGCGAGATCAGAGCAAGGGAGCGAGGGATCATTGTCTACAAGTTAATCGATCGCAGATGGCGTCGTGGTCACGGACGAATAAAAAAAAAAACTATAAAAAAAAAAAAAAAAAAACTAAATGGGTCGCGAAATATACTTGGGCGGCCGTTAATATACCTGGGCGGCCCGCCCAAGTATAGTCTATGTGTGGGAAACCCTGACTGTGCATATAAACTTCCACTTTGAATACCATTACCTCGCTGCTATCACACTTTTTTTTCTTTTTACATTTTTGTAATTATTTTTGTTTGTTTTTTGTTACTGGATTTTGTAAATTGTACTTTCAATTTCTATCTTTAATATTTTATGCATGCTTCTCAATTAATATTAAGCTATGTTTGCCTCTTTACTCTATGTAACAAGGAGCATGTACTCTTTGTGGGACGAATAAAGGTGTTCTGTTTCTGGTGGATCTGAGGAGAAGCCCACCCTGATGAGATGGAGGTAAGTGGAGGTGTGTTTACCTGCTCCAGTTTAATACTGCAACACTAACTGTGCATATATACTTCCAGTGAGGTCAGTGTTTACCTGCTCCATGTCTACCTCGGCGCGGCTCTCCTTCAGCTCCAGATGTTTGTTCAGCCGGGTCACTCTCTCCAGCAGCTCCAGCACAGCGCTGCAGCTCTCCTCGCTCCTGGAGCTGCCGTAGTGAGACATCAGCTTCTTCAACGCCTTGTCGTCGCACCTGAACAACAACAGGTACCAGAAAGCAGAACGTACGGCATGTCAGGCTCAGGGATGTCAGAAAGGATTGGAGTTGAACTAACAAGGTCATATCTGAGTAACATTGCATCGTTATTTAAATCTGCTAATTGTTTTGGAATGAGTCCTAAAACCCTTAGCATTTTAGCACTTCCAGTTTGATTGTCTCAAAGTCAAAGTTTTTGTAACCTGTTTGATGCCTGAAATAAGGTCTGTGGTTAACACAAGCTGTCGGGATTTTCACCTTTTATTCTACGAGATAAAATAAATAGTTAATACCCCACTTGTAAATGTGTAATAAACTAACAAGTGGCTTATTGTCATCACGGCGAACATTAGCTGCGTTTATCTTAGCATTGGTGGCGCCAAGATCTGCGACAAAGATTTTCTTTATAGCCTAATGTTAGCTATTAAATTCTAGCAATTGCATTTAACCTTCAACAACTATACAAGTGCTGTTAGTATATGGAGAATATCCTTCTGATCCTTCTGATCCATCACTCGAATCACTTCACCACCAACGAACTGTCACAAGGGCAAAGAAAATCATTTCTGACCCCTCCCACCCAGCTCACCATGTCCTCCAACTTCTGCCCTCAGGGGGGCGCTACAGGTCACTGTCCGCCAAAACCGCCCGCTTCAAAAACAGCTTTTTCCCTTTGCAATACGGACACTAAATGGACTCTAAATAACCCCAATGAACAATAACAATCCACCACACCTTGAACTTTATGTTATATGTCTTTGCCCTGTGCTGTGTGTTGTACTTTTTATTGTATGTTTATTGTATGTTGAATTGTATGGAACAAGCTGTAATAATCTGCACTGAACACGAATTCCACCAGCCTGGCTGTGTGGTCATTAAAGATTCTAATCTAATCTAATCAAAATATCATAAAACAATTGTTTGGATGTTTAGTCAATGATATCATAACTTTTCGGTTAGCCTAGAAACATACGTCCTCCTTGCACCACTCTATAGCCTACATGGCAGCATTTCAACTGAATGTAACCTAGAATGGTTGCTAATCTCTAGCTTGGGTCTAACATGATCTCCAAGTGAAACAACACCAATTCCTGGTTTTGGCTATTAATCCTCCAGGCTCTCACATAAAAGGTTCATACATCATACTCCACATAGCATGCCATTGCTTAATGATACAGAAATGATCTGGATGTTTGCTACCTTTCCCCACAGCAGGACAGCTTGGTCAGGATCCTCTTCACCTCGTCCACCTGCCTCTGCTGATCCTCGGTCCATTTATCGTCTTCCTCATCAGACGCTGCCTGGCCTTCCACAGAACGAAACAGCTGTTCCTCCACTAGACGACAAAACACACCATTTATTGTTAGCATGATCACAATACCCATTTAACATGGAGTGGTACTGTAGCCAGAGGTTTAGGGAAGAACAGGCTCGAACATAAGCAATTAAACACCAATTATTGTCTTACTCCAGCTTTTCAAAGAGGATTGAACATCTATCGGCTTTGGACTGTTTGTTGGACAACACAAGCAACGAGATGTCACATTAGACTAAAGAAATGCTTATTTTAGTATTTCTCAACATTTTAAAGAACAAATGATAGTAAAAGTATATAACTGATATATGCACAATGGAACAAATGTTAGTCGTATAATCATCAGTTCATATTCAACCCTCCAGGAAGTGCACAAGACGTTGAAGCAATTGTTGTGGCTAAAGGGTGGAACTACAACCTGGTGTCCATCTTTGATGTCTTTGGGACCAAACATTACTTTTTCCCATTGACTTACATTGACAAAGAGATGTCTGTGAACCGGGGTAGTTCAACTACCAACGATAACTTAGTAATTTAAGTCATCATTATCATTGGTCCAAATGTCCAGCAAGATTTTCCAATGCTCCAAACTGTCAAAAGTTGTATATTATAATGTCCTGAGTTTTTAAGGTATTGGATCCACAACAGCAGCCTTTGTTGTGTCCCCTAAAACTAATAGTTTTATAATTACTCGATATCTCAGGACTGTTTAATTGCAAGAAAACCCCAGTCATCTAATACAATCTCTTTATATAGTCACAGCTATGATATAACATTACATCATTCACTTGTGGACCTTTCTTTGGACAGTATGTCTCCTTATTTATTTATTTATGTTGTATAATCATCCTATTTTGCTTGCCGCAGCTGGTTCATCATGTTCTGGTGTCTCCATGTTTTCGCAGTTCTTGAAATCAAGTAGTCTGCCTTCAGGAACCTCATGCAGAGCCAGATACACATGTTTAGTAAACACCACTCAATACAAGATGCAGGACATACATTCATGTTCTTTACACCACAGAGGAGTTTCATGGTAATCAGAGATGGCAAAAGTACACACATCCATTACTCAAGTAGAAGTACAGATACTTGTGTTTAAAGATACTCTGGTAAAAGTAGAAGTACTGACTAAACTTCTTTACTCAAGTAAAAGTAAAGAACTTTGAAATGTACTTCAGTAAAAAGTACCCAACTAGCAGCTGTTTTAAAGAGTACCTGACCTCCCTTTATATTAATAGAACAATAATGTCATTGTTAGCTAATGAATGTTTCCATGCTGAACAACGGCAACATGACAACGTTTCCATTGGTCCCTCTTCTTTAGAGAAGACCAGGAAATGATGGATACACGGATCGTGTTCAAATCAATAGGCACGCAATGACTCTAAAGAATAATGATCACGCACCAAACACACATTCAGACTAAAGGAACCAGCTGTTTGGGAAATGAGAGAAGTAGAAAGTACAGGTATTTGAGTTCAACATGTGAGAAGTAGAAAGTACAGGTATTTGGGTTCAACATGTGAGAAGTAGAAAGTACAGGTATTTGAGTTCAACATGAGAGAAGTAGAAAGTACAGGTATTTGAGTTCAACATGTAAGAAGTAGAAAGTACAGGTATTTGAGTTCAACATGTAAGAAGTAGAAAGTACAGGTATTTGGGTTCAACATGTGAGAAGTAGAAAGTACAGGTATTTGAGTTCAACATGTAAGAAGTAGAAAGTACAGGTATTTGTGTTCAACATGTCAGAAGTAGAAAGTACAGGTATTTGTGTTCAAAATGTAAGAAGTAGAAAGTACAGGTATTTGAGTTCAAAATGTAAGAAGTAGAAAGTACAGGTATTTGAGTTCAACATGTAAGAAGTAGAAAGTACAGGTATTTGAGTTCAAAATGTAAGAAGTAGAAAGTACAGGTATTTGAGTTCAAAATGTAAGAAGTAGAAAGTACAGGTATTTGAGTTCAAAATGTAAGAAGTAGAAAGTACAGGTATTTGAGTTCAAAATGTAAGAAGTAGAAAGTACAGGTATTTGAGTTCAAAATGTAAGAAGTAGAAAGTACAGGTATTTGTGTTCAAAATGTGAGAAGTAGAAAGTACAGGTATTTGTGTTCAAAATGTGAGAAGTAGAAAGTACAGGTATTTGTGTTCAAAATGTAAGAAGTAGAAAGTACAGGTATTTGAGTTCAACATGTAAGAAGTAGAAAGTACAGGTATTTGTGTTCAACATGTAAGAAGTAGAAAGTACAGGTATTTGTGTTCAACATGTAAGAAGTAGAAAGTACAGGTATTTGTGTTCAACATGTAAGAAGTAGAAAGTACAGGTATTTGGGTTCAACATGTGAGAAGTAGAAAGTACAGGTATTTGTGTTCAACATGTAAGAAGTAGAAAGTACAGGTATTTGTGTTCAACATGTGAGAAGTAGAAAGTACAGGTATTTGTGTTCAACATGTAAGAAGTAGAAAGTACAGGTATTTGTGTTCAACATGTAAGAAGTAGAAAGTACAGGTATTTGTGTTCAACATGTGAGAAGTAGAAAGTACAGGTATTTGTGTTCAAAATGTAAGAAGTAGAAAGTACAGGTATTTGGGTTCAACATGTAAGAAGTCAAAGTAAAAAGTCTTCAGAAAAATAAGCAGTGGAGTAAAGTACTGATACCAGAACAATGTACTTAAGTACAGTAACAAAGTATTTGTACTCCACTACTTCCCACCTCTGATGGTAAACATGTCTTACTTTTATCCGGGGTCGTCACAGCTCTTCCTGTCGGGGAACATCGGTCGTGTTGGGAGTCCGAGCAACATCTCTGGTTCTGCCTTTCACCAACACTCAGATCTGCCCTGGTGCTTCCTGGGAGTTGTAGTTTTGACACCTCCGACCTGAAAGAGAAAGTTAAATTTAGCTGTTTGACTCCCCATCTTTTCAAGTCCCTGCACATAAACTGGCACCGACCGAAGGGACTAGAAAGTGGCTCTTCAAATTCACACAGATGAGAAAGTTCTGTCCTAACCAATTGAAAAGATCAAAGAGAACATATCAAGTAACACAAGGCAGTGTGTATTAAGCCACATCTACAACCGCCATGATAATTTTATAGAGGCCTGTGATGTTGTATGCCAAATCTGGGTGGGGTAATTGAAGCCAGACGTTGTGTCTTGAAGGCATATTTACAGTAAAGTGGGTCAATGGTGGAGCGGTGCTGTTTCTGTGGAGTTAGCTTGCAAGATGTGAGGTAAAAGCTCACAGTGGATGGATAAAAGACAGATAGAGCACTGAAAATATTAAGCACATAAACTGTTTTGTAAGCTCTGTTTCATAGGGCACATGTATTCTATATGTCATGTTTTTCCTTACGTCAAAGACACATTCAAACTTGATACTGAAAAAAGACGGAGTGCAGTTTGCTCGGATCAATCTTCCTGTAATGGTTTGAATTTTCTACGTTTCTCCTGCTGTCTGCTCTTTTGTGCTGGGGGAAATCCGATAGGGGGCCTTTGTAAATCACAGAATAAGTGTTTCCAGATGATGATGTCTTGCTGAAAAAAGAAATCTCGAAAAAGGTTTTTCAGCAGCCTGACTCGCTGAAAAAGGAAAAAGCCCTCATACTCAGATCCTGTTGGCGCGAGACACACTTTGCTTTAACACAACATTATACGCTGCATCTGTGTACGAGTTTCTTTGTGCAAAAGCTGGGAGGAAGGAGTGACTTCACTGGAGGTCAATACTTGCAGCATGATTTCAGGCAATCAATCAGAGCGTCATGTTTAAGTTAGTGGGGGCCGTGAGGGAGGAGAGATTGAATTAGTTCATCAGGGCCAACAGCTGCAGTCCCTACGATATGGAGCTGGTGCTTTAAGTTTAATTACAATTAATAGTTACTGTAAAAGAATGTATGAAGTAGCCTAATCTGAGTATCGAAATATAAAAGTAATGTAACCTGATAACTCAGCGTTACTTTAGGATTACCTCAATATCAAATGCAATGCAAGTAAATACAAAACAATAGGACGTTCTTTAGTGTATAATGTAAGACAACAGAACAAAGCTACCTTAGAAAAGATGGCACCCAGATATTTAGGATACAAAATGTGTCGATAGGAAAACCTGCCTTTCATTCAGCACATCCAGGCAGTACCTATACACCAACAGTGGACCACATGAGCACATACTATAGTTTAAAATCTGAGCTGACAGAAAATACTCCGTTTCAGTTTAACACACACAGTTGAACACACACACACTATTTTATGAACATACAGGTTCACCTGCTGAATTAAAAACAACAAATGAAGCGAAGAAAGTGAAAACCATGAAGCAGATTCAGGCAGTAGAAGTATTCAGACTTAAAGTATTATCCTACAGAACAGAACAGCTCACAGAGAACAGCTGATGCTTTACAACAAACACTAGATGATATGTTTAGGTCACTGTAATCCTGCTAGAAATGGTAGAGTTTAGAAATGTAACAGTAATTTGATTTATTTATATAACTGTAAAGGAATACAGTTACCTTTCTTAGTATCCTGATTACATTATCCCGTTACATGAAATCCTAAACTCCCATAGTCTGGTGAACACACACAAAACCAAGCTGGTTGCTGTGGAGACGCTCTGGTATGAAGTGGTGGAAAGCTTTTTCAATGGTGTGACTAATTGCACTTTAATTGACAGCATTGGAGGGGGTGCAGCCCGTGTCCATTGAAAAGTGTAGCAAGGCTCCAGTTTCTGGCTCAGGCCTTTGAAATGTATAGAGGCTTAAAAATGTCTTTGTGTTTCGGAAGGAAAGAAGGATGACCTCCCAGCTGTCGGATTAAAAACTAGTTGTAATGTGTATTTTTTGTTTGCTTGAGATTTAGACTGATTTCCATCATGTGGCTGACAATAATGAGGTGTTTGTGCTGAGCATGGGAATTCAAACAGACAACAAAAAGTAGTCCAGACAGCCATAGTGGTCAGACTGTGGGATGCAGCACACATGGAGTGGTGCAGTGATTCTAACTGTTTTGTCTTTGTTCAACCCAGAAGTTAGCATCGCAAGGGCTCCCTCAATATTCCGTATATTGTAGAAAAATAAACGTTTGTGGCCAACACATGATACTTAAAAACGATTTGTTCAGCAGGTTAATCTCCATATGTTAACACCACTTTGATTTTTGAAGCGTAAATGCAATGGCCAGAAGTAAAGAGGTGCAGCGAGAGGAGATTGCATTATTCCACTCAGAAAAAGTTCTTTCAGTCGGTCTTCATTTGAAAGCTGCTCAGCGATGGAACTCAATCCCACCTCCAATCAGAGACCAGACCACATTCACTTTATTTAAATCAAAACTCAAAATATGGTTAGTGAGGAATCAGCTCTGCCAACACTGACCCAATCTCCTGCTCCGTACAACCCACCGCCTGTGTTCAGCTCTGCCAACACTGACCCAATCTCCTGCTCCGTACAACCCACCGCCTGTGTTCAGCTCTGCCAACACTGACCCAATCTCCTGCTCCGTACAACCCACCGCCTGTGTTCAGCTCTACCAACACTGACCCAATCTCCTGCTCCGTACAACCCACCGCCTGTGTTCAGCTCTACCAACACTGACCCAATCTCCTGCTCCGTACAACCCACCGCCTGTGTTCAGCTCTACCAACACTGACCCAATCTCCTGCTCCGTACAACCCACCGCCTGTGTTCAGCTCTGCCAACACTGACCCAATCTCCTGCTCCGTACAACCCACCGCCTGTGTTCAGCTCTACCAACACTGACCCAATCTCCTGCTCCGTACAACCCACCGCCTGTGTTCAGCTCTGCCAACACTGACCCAATCTCCTGCTCCGTACAACCCACCGCCTGTGTTTTAACATGTTCTTTTGTTTTATTTGTTTTGTTTTAATGTTCTGTATTTTAAATTGTTTTATTTAAGTATCCCAGTAATGTCTGTTGCATGTTTTAAATGTATTGCATTTACTTGTTTAAAATGAAATGTGTTTTAGGTTGACTTTTAAAATCTGTCCAGGGACTACAGATGAAAAATAGCCTCTTGGCTAACTCTGGCACGTTTACAGAAATGTTCATTAATGTGCAGTGTCCCTGTTAAATACATGAATAAATACAAAAATAAAAAGCTAACGTTAGGCTACAGACAAACTACATCACGGTTGCATGACTACACATCTCCACCACTAAGCTAAAGGCTTGCTAATGCTAATGTTCGCCTTGATGACGTTTCGTAGTCTCATTTAGACCGTGTTAGCAACCAACAATTTAATGACACATAGAAGCTTCGGACATTCGCGAGTGGAGTATTTAATGATGTATTTTATGTCATAGAAAAATACTTGAAAATCTCTCCAGCTCGTCTTTACCACAGACCTTATTCCATACTACCAACCCGTTCAAAAAACCATAGACTTCCAGAAGAATACTTTTGCCTGGTGGGCAGAAACATGAATCAAAATGAATGCTTATTTTGCTACAATGTATTTTTGCCTCTTTTAGATCGTTATTTTGGTTTTATGGCACTATTACAGTATGAATATGTCTGTCTCAAGATCCCTGTGAGGCCCCACACACAACTAAGACTACTGATTAACCAAATGTACGCCATGCAGTAAACAGACACAGTTAGCAACAAACATATAAGGCAAGTCAAATGTCTAGCAGCCAAAGAGACAATCTTTTTCTCAGCAGGTGGTGGAGTCCAAAACATTGCCCAAAGGAGAGTGAATGATGAATCATACACAACTTATCTGCTATTTGTGTAAGCCATGTAACTTTGTATGGTTAACATTTGAGTGCTTTGTGTTTCTGTCAGCTAATGGCAAAACAATGTCATATCTTTAAAAGCATTTTGTGTTGCTTGCCTTTTGTTTCATTTAGAAGATACATTACACAAAAAAATATTCTAAGGTCATAAATCAGTTGGAGTATTAAGAGCGAATTAAGTTGTATGTAAACCTCGTTGTTGGTCAGGAAGTACTAGAAGTGGAGCAGAAAGATCATCAATTCAACATTTCCTGAACTGTCTGTATGACCTTCCGCTGTCTTTGATCAGTTCCCTGTATCAAAGGCATATCTTGGTAATGGGGGTATGTTACACAATCCTTCACAACAAAGAAAAATACATCTTTTCATTCTTACATTTGTTTTGGCTCAGACAATAAAGCTCTTGGCAGAGAAAACGCACATGCAACGGTCCAGTTGAACACATGGAAGCATATATCGCTGCCTATATATCAGGTTAATTATTCCAACATCCCTTGAGGCACACACACTAGTACACATGAAGAGCTCTATTGTGCTCCGTCAGGGCATTTCTAATTAATAGTATCCTGTATTCTGCCTTATTACCAGCAGTGTGAAGCCGTCCTGTAGGTGGTGGGGGGGGGGGGGGGGGGGGGGGGGGAGCTGCTGTTTGTTGTTAGAGCCAGGACACCCAGAGTCTTCCCTATGTTTATCACAGCGTGGCGCTCAACTGAACTTTCCAGAAACAAACCCCAGTGAAGATTCTAGACCAATGTTTCTCGGGAGGCCTGTGATGGGGCCGGATAAAGACAGTGTTCAAGATTTAAAGGTCCCGTGACATGGCCATCTCTACTGATCATAATTCCATTGTTGAGGTCGACTAGAATAGATTTCCATTGTTCAATGTTCCAAACTCACATTGGTTTCTCAAACAGCATCTCTGTAAAGTATGTGTATTCACTCTCTGTCCTACACGGCCTGTTGGAGCTCCTGCCCCCCCCCCTCCCTGTGAGCCCACTGTGCTCTGATTGGTCGGGACGTTGCGAGGCTCGTTGCTGCGAGGAGCGGACAGGTTTCCGGGTCGGCGATACAGCGAGAACAAGCCAAACTCATCCTGAGCACACAAACACTCACAGCCGAAGTAAAAA